CCTCACAAAGGCATGGAAATGGGTTTTGTTCCTTTGTCTTTTTACTGACAGAACCAAGCTTGGTTGCTTACCAACAGCCACTGAGTAAAAAGTTAGTCCCACAGAGGAGCTAAGCAGGAGAAGTGTCTTCCTCAGGAGAGAGAGCGTATTCTGAAAGGTAACAGTGGCTGGAGTGGGCAGGGAAGAGGAGCAGACCCAGCACCCAGCCAATGGCACACGAGTACTCTTGAGTGGCGGCTGATGGGCCAATGGCTGATGGAGCGCACTGTGGGCGAGACTCAGGCAATGCAGTCAGTGGATAGGGACAGGTTCTGGGTGACACATCATTGAGCCAACTGATATAGGAGCTTGTGGAATGTTCAGAAAGTGCCACCCCACTACTCGATTATATAGAAGGAAAGATGTTATCAAGCCTGGTGATGGTTCTCCTTTGTTGTTTAAGCATTCTATATTCCTGATACAAACATCTGCTCCAGCCTCACAATTGCATTTCAACGAAGAAAAGTAACGCTGCAATAATGAATACAATAAGATACCTCCTTTAAAGACTGAGATAAAAATTAAAGTTAGTGCACACATTCAGGACAAATCCAACATTTCATGTTCAGGCACAAGGTCCTAGCAGTGGCAAGAAAGAACTCTTAATTTAGCTCCTGCTTGGGGATGGGGGACACTGTACAGACAATGGAAAAACACCCCAAAAGCAAAATTAAAAGTGAACTTACTTTATTATGCAGAAACCATTTACAGGGATTTTTTATTTTTTTAAAAATATTAACACTTTCTTCTACATTAGTGAATCAGGCTTTCAAATCATTGTGAACTTAGACTCTGTTTTTACTCTGGGAGAAGACACAATGCTGTTAGACCACTGTATTTGTACATTGCATCAGGAAACTTTAAGAAGGGAGAAACAATTTTTTTGCTGGAGACAAGGAACTTCCCCAGGGTCTACTTTCTAGAGCATTGAAGTTCCTTTTTCTGTCATACACAAGCACATTCCAGCAGCAGAGATTTTGTTGTTCTGGAGCAGTTCCATCAGTGTTACAAGAAGTTAATTCCTCTCCCCCACCCGTGGCAATTCTGTGGGAAAGCAGAGGGTCCAAAGGTGATGGGGATCCTGCTTAAAGTCTCTCTGAACCTACAGAATCTCACACCAGATCCTGAACTCATTTACTTGGCTACAGTAAAGTAAAATGGTAGCATATTCTGAGGACCCACTCACTGCATTTGAAGAAGGGAGCTTCACTCCACGAAAAATTATGCTGGAATAAAATGTTCTTCGTTTTTAAAGTGCCACAGGATTCCTGCCTTTAACATCACCTTTGTACCTGCTCAACATCACCTTTGTACCTGCTCACCAGCAGTCACAAACGGGAGTGTGACAAGGCTTGAATAAGAAACTGGAAGTTCACCTTGGAAACTAATGGATATGACCCCCTTGTTCACATCCCTTCTCCAGCTCTATGAAGAACATAGAGATAGAAAAACTATAGTCAGACGCAAAGCCTAACTTCCAGTTTGGCTTGGAATGTTCATTCTGTGCCTTATTTTGCTAGGCGCAAAAGCATAGCGGTTCGCCAATGCAATCCAACGGAGCATAGTTTGTTGGTATTAAATTAAATGCAGACATTAAATGGGCGGGGTTCCAGGAGCCGTTTAATTGGGGGGGGGGTTGCTGTAACCTATGGTGTGTGTGGAATATTTCCCTGGGAATCAGAGGCAGCTATTGCAAAGGTATGGGGAGACCCTCAAAATCAATGATAGAGTTACTGGTTTTGTTTTTTTAGAAAGAGATATGCAGGCATTGGGGGGGGGGGCTACAAGGTTAACCCTAGAAGCCTGGTGCGGGAAGGAGATGATTAACCCTATCTAGAGAGCTCTTCCACCCACAGACGTTTTCCCATCCATGAAGGGGAAAATGGGATTTCTAAGCAGCTCGAGGGAGATTTTGATTGCAAAAACAGCCCATTGAAAGAGAATTATGGCCCACAGCATTACTCCTGAGATCAATTTTGCAGGCTCTCTGGGCTGAGACAAATCTTGCAGCCCTCTTGCCAAAATCCTGCTAAGAGAACAGTCACCAAATCTCCAGGCAGTAGGGTAGGAGACTGATTCTTGTGTAAAAGAGAGAGTTTCAGTGGGTAGCTGTGTTGGTCTGCAGTAGAATAGCTAGATCCAAGTGCAGTAGCACCTTAGAGACGAGCAAGATTTTTGGGATATAAACTTTTTTGGGATATAAACTTTTGAGAGTCAGTGCTCTCTATGATGTCCTAGATGTTGAAAGATGCATAACAATACCAGACTATATTGCATGTTTGGTAGAAACTAGTCCAGGGGTGGCTAAACTTTCTTCATGTAAGAGCCACATAGGTGAAATGTTAGATGCTTGAGAGCCACAAGGTGATTTCGGAGGAAGAGGCAGGTTTAGGGGAGAGACATCACAGGAAGGGGTTAGGGTTCCCAAATCCCCCCGGGGGGCGGAATTCCCCCTGGTTTTGAGCCCCAATTCCCGCTCCCGCGGAATCGGGGCCCGGGGGAAACCCCACCCCCGCGTGTGCGTCACCCGGAAGTGACGTCGCATGCTGGGGGCGGGGTGACGCCATTTGAGGGGAAAACAAAGCGTTTTCCCCTCAAATAGTGTGGCCCCGCCCAGCGTGTGACGTCACTTCCGGTGACGCTCCGGAAGCGAGCGCGCGCTTTGCGCGCGTGCACATTCCTGGCTGGCTCCCGGAGCAACAAGACACTCCCCCACCGGTAAGTTTTTTCTATTTGACAACCCTAGAAGGGGTACAGGATGTGATGTCATTGGAAGGAAGTGATGTCTCTTATAAAAGTACAAAATTTATTAGGGTGTACACATATTAAAATATATTCGGGTTAATTTTTTTCAAGTATCAGACTAATAAAAGCATATCAAATATTAATACACATGATGGGTCAACACTTTCCAACTGAAGACCAAACGCGTTTCGGCCTCACAGGGCCTTCCTTGGTGGTCACTATTACAAGATAGTATAGACACACATTCAAACATATGTATACAAGATCTTTAGTACACCTATATAAAGACCAGATGTTGTATCCTGAAATTATAAAAATAGAGGAAGGGGAAAGGGGAAAAGAAACTCAAATTATTATTTCAAATGTATACCAAATCCTTATTAATTTCAACAAATGATTGTTCCAAACTGGAATTACCTTATATGTTTATAATTGTGTTACTGGTATTAATGATGGGCCACAGGTATAGCCATATCCATTCCAATTATTCTAAATAAAAACCATGGTGCTGGCAGCAAGCGGCCCAAGAAGAGCCTTTCGCCACGTTCCTGTTTAATGCCCATGGAGGGGGGAAGACAACCATGCAGCCTGGCTGGACCCCTCTGCATCTCCCTCCCCAGCAGAGGGCATCCCCCCACACAGCCCATGGTGACAGTGGGCTGACGAGCAGGGTGAACAGAAGCTGGCTTCCCTGGTGGCACTGGCAGCTCTCTTAGATGATCCCTCCCCCACTGCTGAGCCCCCAATGGCTGGGGCTGCTGCTGCTCCTCTCTTTTCCACGCTCTTTTCCAGCAGCAGGAGGCAGCAGAGGGGAGGGGAGTGGCTTTCAAAGGGGGGGGAATGTGGGGGTGTGGAAAACTTTACAAGCCCAGATCATGACTACAGCACACTGCGGTAATCTAATCTAGATGTTGCCAGAGCATACACCTCAGTAACAGGATATTTTCTGCCCAGGAAGTGCCGCAGCTGGCTCACCAGCCAAAGCTGATGAAAAGCACCTCGGACCACTGCTACCACCTGATTATCCAACAGGAGCCTTGGGTCCAGGAGCACCCCCATGCTACAAACTTGCTCTTTTAGGGGGAGCGCAACCCCATCCAGAACAAGGGATAACCCATTTCCTGGGTCAGACCCTCCCCCCACCAGTAGCCCTTCCATTTTGTCAGAATTAAGTTTCAGCTTGTTAGCAACCCTCATCCACTTGAAAACTGCCTCCAGGCACTTGTTCATGGCTTCACAGCCTCCCTGGGATCTGCTGGTAGCTCAAGATAGATCAGAGTGTCATCTTCTTATTGGTGGCAGCTCAGCCCTAATCTCTGGATGACCTCTCCCAGCAGCTTTACACAGATGTTGAAAAACATGGGGGACAAGAACCTTGGTGAACCCCATAGGCCAGAAGCCAAGGGGCAGAGCAGCAGTACCCCAGCACTCTGAAACCTACCCTCAAATTAGGACCAGAACCACAATAGAACAGTGCCGTTGCAATACAGGGGTTGGTCCAAGTGCAGACTACACTTAATGACTCTTCTATTCTGCCCAGTCTGGAATGTTGAGATTATTTTTTTATCCACTCTTTCTCCATTGAGTTTAGATTAGCATATGGGATTCTCCCATCTCCCTTTTATCCTCAGAACAATCTTGTGGAGGAGGAGAATAAAAATGCCTGAGCAAAGATCAACCAATGGGCTTTATGGATTGAGTGAAAATTTGAACTCAGCTCTCTCTCTCATTCTAGCCTGACATAGGATCCATGAGTCCACAGTGGACCATGGTACAGGGCTGTTGTGCACTACTCAGAAGAGGGATGACAATGCTGGCCTACACTGCAGGGTTATTATCAAGTGGTCTCTTAGCCTCATTTCTCACCTGCACCATCAAAAGTAGTTAAAATTGTCACAGGCCACTGTCAGCTGGAGCTCAGTGTGGGAGAGCACATATAACATTTGGTAACAGCGAGGTCCTAACGCTCTCAGTCTGTCTTGTTCCCTCCTCCATACCAAGAATAACAATGGGCCACGTTGGCCCTTGCACAGGAATGCTTTAAAAACAAACAAACCGGAAGCTGGTTTGTCAATGAGTTACAGCATGAACTGTTTCGGGGGCTTCCACGTTCCGAGGAAGAGACCGGGTTCTACCCATTTATAGCTACGCTTAAATTCAGGATTGGTGATCATTTGTCAGGCGGTGCCGCTGCCCCACGGCAGGGGGGGGGGGAATGGCATCAAAAGTCCCCAGGGAGGCTGGTCTGCAGACAATAGCACTGTCATTCCGCCTCCTCCCTTTGAAGTCTATGGTGGAGACCGCGGAGCTGCCCAGAGCGCGCGCGCCTCACCCCAGCCTTCTTCTCTTCCGCGAGACGCGCGCACAGAGAGACAGACGCCGGCATCAAAGGCCCCAAGCGCGTCCCCGCTGCCTCGCAGCCGCCGAGGGATCGTTCGGAGCTCAGGCCTGAGTGATTCGGGGCCAACATGGCGCTCGTGCCCTGTCAGGTGCTGCGAGCGGCGATCCTCCTCTCCTATTTCTCCATTCTGTGCAACTACAAGGCAATTGATATGCCTGCGCATCAGACCTATGGCGGCAGCTGGAAATTTCTGACGTTCATAAATCTGGTAAGTTCTCCCCGTTCCCCACACCCCGCCACCCCTTTTGTGTCTGTGCCCCCATCCTTCAAGCTGCCTCTTCCTGTGGCGGGGGCACCTGGAAAGCTGGCTGCGCTCCTCCGCCCCTCGCCGCTTGCTACTGAGTCCCTGGCGGCAGCAAAGCCAAGGCGCAGACCCCGCTGTTCCCGCCGGCGTGATAAACCCCACCGGTTTTCAGTGCGTTGCTCGGCTCTGCCTGCCTCGATCACTCTTCCGTCAGCAACATAATGACACGACCTTGAGAGGGGGAAGACACGTCCCGTTGTTGTTGTTTGGTATACGGGACTGCTCGGGAGGGTATCATGAAGGAGCAGAGGAGGGGGCGGAGCTGCGAAGGGAAACGTTATTGATATTGGAAGCGGAAGGGAGGCACCACGAAAGTGGATATTCCCGTTTGGAAAGATTGCCCAGCAGTGCAAGAAGATCCGAGTCATGTTTACTCGAATGTAAGCTCTCCTGTGTTCAAAGGGGTTTACTCCCAGCACTGCATCCATGGTTACTTAATTGAATCCATAGTATAACACATTACAAGGGAGGAAAATATGCCTGAGTGGGTTATTCATATATTTTTTTTATTCGTATGTAAACATCAGTCCAAGACACATTTCCAAGGAAAGAAATTTCACTTCAAGAAAATGTGGATAGTAGCAATTGAGAATGCTTCAAATAGTCCATGTGTAATTTAAAATCCAATGCTTTTGGTGACTTCTTGAGACAATATGATCATACTCATTACAGGTTTTCACAGGTAAATGGGTGTAGGGTTTTCAGGGCAAAAGATGTTCAGAGGTGGTTTGCCATCGCCTACCTCTGCATAGTGACCCTGGACTTCCTTGGTGGTCTCCCATTCAAATACTGACCAGAGACAGACACATACGCACATGGCTTATGAAGGGGGGGAAATGTAAACAGCAAGGTTAAAGGGCCACGAAGTGAAGAAAGTATGGGGTGAGGTTACTGTGCAAAACTCAAATGTAATGAAAAAAAGTACAGAAGCTGTTCACAGTAGCAATAATTGGCAGTCTTAACTAGTTTTGATAAGCTAGTTAACATCTCTAAAGGCTGCTGGTTTCTGCGTCCTTGTTAAGCCTTAGATGGTTTCAAACTCCTTGAATTAAGCAGGTTCATAGTGGAGTCTTTATTTGAATTTTCCCCCCCACTGGAGAACAGTGACTTTTAAATCAGCATCAGTGTGTCCTGTCATTGGTTTCTGGAATGGTTACTGTCATATTTATGTTCAGTAATTATTTCACATAGGAACTGACCTATTTGCCCTATGTAAAAAGCAGAAGGGAACTCTTGACACGTGATGACATAACACACTGGATGATGAATAAGTGGTACATATGATGAAAGTGCTGTTAGGTTGCAGCTGACTTATGGTGACCCCTTGGGGTTTTGAAGGCAAGGGACATTCAGAGATGGTTGGCCATTACCTGCTTTGGGTAACAGCCCTGGAGTTTCTTGGTGGTCTCCCATCCAAGTACCAGCCGGGACCGACTCTGCTTAGCTTTCAAAATCTGATGAGATCAGGCTAGCCTGGGCCATCCAGGGTCAAGGGGCAAGATAGTATAGCTGATGTTATTAGAGCCTGTAATAGTGTTGTCTGAGTGGATACAGAAACAGAATGGGTCTCTGGGTTTGTTACAGGGTCTGTGTCAGCAACCTGAAGGTAGAAGCTGTTACCAAATCTGAAGTAATTATGACAAGGACTTGGGTTTGTTGCAGGGTCTGTGCCAGCAATCTGTTTATTGTGTCCTCTTTCTTGCAGCTGAAATTATATTGTAAAGATACTGTTTGCTGATCAGTTTAGTCTGAGCATAGTGATGAAAGCATTCTGTTCTATGTGCTGCAGCTATCAAGAGGGCAAATGGAGAGCTCTTTTTTCTGTGGCATTGAGTGGATGGAGGTTGACTGATATACTGTTCACTGGTATGGTGAGAAGATAGTAGCTGTCAATCAGTGAACTGATTCAGGAGTTTGGGGAAACTATTGTTTCAGCATGGATGGCAGCATGGGTGGCAGGCTGTCTCCTGGGAGGCTGGCAGAAAGTCCTCCAAGTCACTAGAGAATGGAATAATTGGTGTGGATTTGGTAGAGGCGTCCCTATAAATGAACAGATTCTTCTATGAGGCTTAGTGTGTAGCATGAGAGATTAGAGGCTATCTTACTTTGCCCCTTCAGGACATCATAACAGGCCATCTGGTGCATGATATTCCCAAAGGAAAATTAATTTTCATTTCCATTTCCTTCTTTTGAGAAATAGGTTTACTCAGAGACTACTGGCTTTTCCCTTTGGGGTAACTTTGTATCCTAACCCATGTTATCCCAGCTAAACATCATTCATTCATTTCTTCGCCACAGCTATTTTCTGCTCAAAGAAATGTAGGTTTAATTTCTTTCTGGATTTCTGCCCCCAACCCTGGACTCACCAGTTAGCCAGACACTGCTACCATGTCCACTTAAGGTTGCCATCCTCCAGGCGGTGCCTGGGGGTCTCCTGCTTTTACAACTGGTCTCCAGCTGACAGAGATCAGCTCCCCTGGAGAAAATGGCTGTTTTGAAGGGTGGACTCTATGGCATTGGGCCATGCTGAGGCCCCTCCCCTCCCCTCCCCAGACCCCGCCCTCTCCTGGCTCCACCCCCAAAGTCTCCAGGTATTTTCCAACCTGGACTTGGCAACCCTATGTCCACTGGGTCCTGAGATGTTACCTATATGCTCCTGCAGTCTGAGACAACAATAAGCTGGGAGAGTAGCAGGTGAGGGAGGTGACTTGGAAAGCTGCAACACAACCTTCCGAAGGGGAAAGTGACGGGAAAAGGCAACTCTAGAGCCAACCCTGTTTAAGTTGAGGAAGTGGCCCAGCACAATGAGGCCCATTGGCTGAAGAAGCTAGGACTGCCCAGACAGTGGGTGTAGGCTAACAGCGAAGGAGATAAAAGGGAGGCCAGCAAGGAACAGAGGATCTCAAGGCTGCATAGAAGATGCCTTTTGAGAAGGTGGTGGCAACCTTATCCCCTCCCAATTCTGAGAGCCGGGGGGGGGGTGGACTGTGAGGAGCAATGGAAGTTCATCCACCAGGACAAGTAGGGGGCAATTCTTCCTCCCTTGTAGACCAACAGAATGAGGAGCAGGAGACTCACACTGCTAAAAATGTGTTCTAAATGGCTTCTAGCCACCTGTTTTCCAAACACCAGAAGAACTTGGTTTGGGTTAAAGTTCACCAGAGCAGGCTCAGGTTTGCCAATTTTCAAATGGGTCCTGGAGTTCTTCAGGAATTACTACTGATCTCAAGACAACAGAGATCCGTTCCCCTTGAGAACGTGGCAGTTTGGGAGGGTGCATCACTTCCCTGCTGAGTTCCCTTCCCTCCCCAAATCCTGGCTTCCCCAGGCTCTGCCCCCAAATCTCTAGGAATTTCCCAACCCAGAGCTGGCAACCCTAGTGGTGACTGTGTAGAAATGCCTTGTCTCCTGGGAGGTTGGCAACAAGCAGGGCTTCACTGTACATTTTAACCAGTTTTTTCCTCTGAGCTAAGAACAAGCCGAAGGGGAGGAAATTAGCCCATTGCCTTCCAGAAGCATCTCTTGAGAAATGTTAATGGGTCTTGCTAGATACAATGGGATGGGCCAGTTCACTCCCACGTCTCCAAGTAGGGAATAGAGTTGGAGGTGTTAATTGCTAGATAAGTTACAGGAAGGGACTTCCTGGAGACAACAGGAAAAGAAACCTTGACCTGAGCTGACAGCAGTCAAGGGGGAGGAGGAATAGAGTGGATAAATTCTTTGGGCAACAGGAAATAATGCTCTTTTTGCTTGGGATGCTGAGCTGAACAGATCTCTTGTCTGAGGTTGGGAGCAGGCAGCCATGTTGGATCATGTGGCTGGCCTAAAGAGCTGGGAGCATGCTTTATGGATGATCTTTAGAGATTTGGAATCACCTAAGCTAAAAGAGCCTATCCTAATTTTAACATGGAGTTCGGGCATGTTTTAGAGAAAGGGTCAGAGGATTTGTGTTTTTACCAATTTATTTTGTCTTCCTCATTCAAATCTGGCATTGTGCTGAAAGTATACTTGGAATGTAAATGTTTTTTCTCTTTAATAAATATTTTAAACTATTGATGCAAGGAGCAGTTCTCTGTACCACATAGACCTCCACTGTCTTGAACACATTATTTTAAAAGGGAGCCCAGGAGGGGGGAAGGCAAGCAGTTGACAACTGGCTATTCCCCCACAGGCACACAGAGCATTAAACCATCCCCGTGGTAGCCAGGCGCTGGACTAGCAGGAGACACTGAGACAAGGCCTCTGAGCTTGGAAGGGGAGCTGGGGGTCCTGATCCCTTCAGTGGGAAATCCCTATAATGATCAGGTGGTGGCAGTGGCTACTAAAGAGTAAAAAGGAGAAGCCCCTCCAAGTAGTTGGGAACCCCCTAGGAGGGCAGAGTGGAACAAGGCCTGCAAGCCAGAGCAGGCACATTCTGCCAAAGTCACTATAAATAAAATCGATAACCTGCTACTACAGAAGTTGAGCTTTTATATAGATTTCACCTGAGTTCTCGCAGGAGGGAAATATGAATTTGTTATCATCATGGAGTTCAGAAATATAGACTAACATAGGAAGTTGTCAAGATCTCACCTGTAGGACATAACAGGCAGTCATCTGTATCGCCATTAGTCTGTATCTTTACAATTTAAGAAACTGCTTATTGCTGACCAGTGTGGCTTTGCTGTCATGTTACATCTTTTGCAACAGTAGTTTGTATTCAAACTTGAAATGTTTTCCCTTTGGTGAAACGGGTGCCCACGCTCAGCCCTGGGGGACTTAGCCGGTTTGTGGCCCGTGAGCCCCGCTTCGCCTTCCCACCTCCTTGGTGGGCTTCTGTCATTCTTCAGTAGCTGCCACCACTCACTGACTTCCCTAGGCCTTTCTTGAGGGGCAGTGAGACCCCTCTGGCTGACTCCTGGGGT